TATATATACTTATAATATACTCAATATCCAGAAGATGATATCCTTCCAAACCGCCCGCCTCGACATCCGCCCCCTGGTCCTCTCAGACGCGGAGGATGTCTTCGAGATGCGACGCGATCCGGAGGTTGCGAAATGGGGGTTCGTTTTTCTATTCCATTCTATCCTATCTTATTTCTCTTTTGTTGTTTTCCTGTTATTGGTTTGTGTGTTGATTGTTCGATGTTGACGGGGTGGAATAAACAGGTCAAGCGGAACACCGGATTTGAGTATCTCTCAGACGATAGATTGGATGGTATCTCGCTCTCTGGGGTCTGATGTCGACGATACTACGATAACACCGAAGAAAAAGAAGTCTGGTCCGAATGTCATATTCGCTGTTCGTGAACTACAGCCCAGTGTGGCCTTTCCTGGGGGGAAGGTCATCGGGACCATGGGGATTAAGCGGTTGGGGATACCTTGGATCCGGCGGGCTCGAATCGGGTACGCTGGGAGCTGGGGTATGGGTTTCATGCTGGGGCGTGGGGGAAGGGGTATGCGACTGAGGCTGCGAGGGGGGTGTTGGGTCATTTTGGAGAGATTAGACGGGCTTTAGAAGGGCAGGGGCAGGGGGATGAGGCTGTTGCTGTTGTAGAGGGGTTGTGGGCTGCTACTGCAGAGGAGAATTTAGGGAGTCAGGCGGTGCTGAGGAAGTGTGGGTTTGAGTTTGTTGGGAAGTTTGTAGATGAGCTTGGGAGGAAGAATTTGGATTTTCAGGTATTGGTTTGAATAATATGTTTCATGATTGGTAGATGTACATGTCGAGGGCAAGGGCTGCCAGGTTATATATGTGTATACTGTACCTGTCTAGATGTTATGTATATAGTTAGTTTAGGGGAGAATGGGCGGTTTCCTTGCGGCGAGGACGGATTCGAATTCCTGCGCGAGGGCTAACAGTTCCTGGTCTTTCCAGGGTTGGCCCATTAGTTCGATGCCGATGGGGATGCCCAGCGGTGCGGAGGGCGTCTCGGGACTGAATCCTGCTGTAAAGATATGAGCACTTGACTGTCTAGTATCTAGCCAGGCATTCACTATAAAGGCGCATTGGATATGGTTCAACATACCAGGCAAACAAATCGCCGGCCGTCCTGTCAACGCCGCCAAAATCCCATTTCTACCCGGCTGTATCGTGCACCCCACACTGGCGACAAGCTGTTTCTGATGTGGATACACCAAGGCCGTGAGTCCATGCTCCTGGAAACACCGCTCCACTGACCCTTTGAGAGATTCTATCCTCTCAAGTCGGGAGCGGTACTCGGGGCTTGTGGGCGTAAACTCGCCGCCTTGGAGTGTCTGGTCAAAGACGGCCGTCATGGCCTGGGGGTTGTATTGGCCACTTGCTGCGATGGCAGCCAAGGATCTGTGCGGCGTGGTTACGGTTTGTGAGTTGAGAAATGCGTCGAGTATCGTGCGGAATTCGTAAGCTTGGGTGTCCGCTGTATTGCGGAGGCGTAAGACGTCCCAGTCGGGTATATGAGGAATCTCAACGAAGTCAATGGATGGTGAGTTGGTTCCAAGCCTGGCTAGTGCGTCACAGATGGCTTTGTTGATCGTTAAACCTTCGGTCGTGGTTCCGTCGCTAAAGTAGTCTTTTAAGACGCCTAGTTTTATCTTGGACGCACGGATGTGACTGACTGGTTGATACCGTCGCGGATTCAGAGTCGCGGGGTCTCCCGGATCTTGTCCTCTCATTGCCTCGAAGAGAATCCGCACGTCCCCCACCGTCCGACCCATCGGCCCGGCTACATCTTGTGTTTCTGTAACTGGAACAATGCCTTGCCGGGAGACCTGGCCGCGAGTCGGACGGAAGCCAACTACTGCGCAGGCAGACGCTGGAGACCGCAGTGAGTTCATTGTGTCGCCACCACAGCCTACCAGTCCCATGTTCGTCGCCAGAGCGACGGCCGTGCCACCGGAGGAGCCACCAGGGGTGCGGGTGAGGTCGTAGGGGTTTAGGGTTTGGCCGCCGAGGGAAGAGAGGGTGATTCCCTCCAGCGAGAACTCGTGCAGGTTGGACTTTGCCAAGATAATGGCGCCCTTGTTCAGGAGGTTCTGCACGACTGTGCATGAGGTGTCGGTCGTTAGTGTGCGAAGAGCTTGAACGCCGGACGTAGTGGGAAGAAAGGCTGTCGTATAGGTATCTTTTAGAATTACTGGGACGCCGTGCAAAGGTCGGAGAGTGGGTTCAGATTTGTCCTTGTCGGTGTTGTCGATGCAAGACGCGAGTTCTTGGTCTTTCTGGTAGGCTTCATGCACGGCGTTAGGGTTTACGGTGAGAATCGCTTTCAAGGTGCTATTGTACTGGTGTATGCGGGCGATATACGCAGTGATCGTTGCGGCGCATGTCGTTCGTCTATGAATAAGTGCCGAGTGGTATTGAGGTATGGTGAGCTCATCCAGTGCGAAAGGGACGTCCGTCTTGGTCTCAGTACTGCCCATGATGTGTCGAAAGAGATGTTGATGTGGCTGTCAATGAGATTATTCTGAGAATATAGAACATGAGGGGTTCGATAATGAGGGGTATTTGGCCGTAGTCTATGCCACTAGCGTGACTATCAAGCTAGATCGTATCGTAGTGTCGTCTGAGATATATCGTGATTTGCTGATCATCGCATCAAGTCCGATATGAGCCGCCATCGCGTCATCCTAACAGGGGAACGGAAAAGAAACCATTTTCAACAGTCGTTAACGTATAGGGGTCGTATAGTCCTATAAGTACAAAAGGCAACCCATCAGAATCCCTCCGATAGGCGAGGGAGAACATGCGAAGGCATCATTCTGGCCACCGATAAAACCTCGATGGCACTGATCGTAGTGACCGTCAAACTCACTACCACGAGAGCGAAAGAACAATATACCAGACAACTATGCAAGATATAATCCTGTATCATATCACCAGAGCGCCCCAGAAGACGATGAATAAAATCCGATAAGAATGAAGCACATCCACGATGCGGAGAAGATATCAAATGAAGGAAAAAAACAAGACCATATCCCACAAGCCCCAGATCCTGACCCCCAGTTGTGTGAAGAGAAGTGAATAAAATAAAATAAAACAGCATGTCCTCCGTAATAAATAAATTGATAAGAACCCATACTGGTGTCGTTACACTTTTGCCCATCCGTTCCGGTCGCTGGATTCCTTCAGGTCTCGATGGCTTTTCGACGAACCGCTAATAGATCCGGGCAATTTATCCAGCAGGCATCCCACCCCAGAGACAACCCTCTCGGTAGTCTCCACAGCATTATCGATCATCATGGGCATGGCTGCCATTTCGATGATGCAAATAACCAAAAGAATAAACCATCTATCGTAACTTATAAACCCGTACTCATGCAAATTACAGACTGGCTGGCCATCGAGGCACCAGTGTCATATAGCCACTTGAGATCAACACGACGAGCATTCGCCGGAAAGGTACTCATTAGAGGTGTGTGTCAGTCTAGCGGCGTTGGGTGTTGCGCTGCAACTGTTCCCCAATCCGCAGAGCTTCAGTGCCATCATCCACTATGGACTCTTTGAACCAGGGGTGCTTGAGAGCATCCTTGGCTGTGAGCCGGTTTTTCGGGTCATAAACGAAAATGCGCTGTAAAAGATCCAGGAATAAACGGTGGAACTTGGTGCTGGTGGGAATAAAATCCTGCTACATTTAGTAACGACCTCAGAAGTGGAACAGCGTAACCGAAGACATACTGTCAATTGTTTCATAGCCCTCACATACTTCCGTGAAGCACGAGTAGTTTCATCGTTAGGATAATCGAGCTTGTTGCGGACGAAGTATCTAACGCTGATTAGCACTTATGCAGTACACGAGGGGGTGGGGATGGAACATACTTGGCTGCCTGATTCTGGCTCCCACTCCGTCCGCCTTGCATTACTTGTCTTACGAGACGAGTATCAATCCGGTCGCCTATTACAGCCTCCATCATGGCAAGATGCTCCAAATTGTCATGAGTTTGGAACAGAGCGTCCCCTGTGAAGAACTCGACCAGTATACAGCCGATACTCCAAATATCACAAGGGAAACTCCAGCCGAGATTCAGAATGATCTCTGGGGCCCGGTAATGTCTGGTGGAAACAACGGAAGAGTGATATTCGTCATCGAAGGTCGCAGACCCAAAATCAATCAGACGAATCTCGCTGTCCAACAAAACTCGTCTTTGACGTGCGCTGCGGGAGATCGCGTGTGACGACGACGGGATCGTGCGGTTGTAGGTGAAGGTTTGATAGGCATTACTGACAAGGAGGATGTTTTCGGGCTTAAGGTCGGTGTGAATCAGGTTAAGATCGTGCAGAACTATGCGATGTCAGTATCGATTTACCGATGATTTGGACGATAGAAACACTTACAGGCCACGCTGGTGAACAACTGCCGAGCAAAATTCTGAATTTGACTGCTGGGAAAGGGAACGAAGCCGTTGCCCTTCAGAAAATCAAAAACACTTTGCCCAAGCAAGTCCGTGACAATGCAAATGTGATTGCGATAATCAAAGCAGTCGCGTAAATGGATGCATTTGTTACGATTTTGCCTGTCGTTTGACGCCAACGTCGACAGCACTCGAAGCTCAATCCGCGACGCGTCACGGTACTTCTGGATGGAACGAATGATCTTGACCGCAACACGAGTCTTACGGTGCTTATCATACGCTTCGACTACTTTCCCAAACGTCCCCTGGCCCAGGAGTTTTATGATCGAATCTATCAAGTGTCAGTCAAGCAAGTATATCCAGTCCCCGGGTGCTACCTACATCGGTCTGTTAATGGGGTATCTGGTGTCACAATATAATGACCATCATCGTCATCGAACTTTTCTCCTCGGTTTGCGTACTATAGTGGGTTAAATACGGCGACTCTCGGGGAAAAAAAAATAAATGAGAGAGAGAGCCACTTACGTCCCGAACAACAGGCACTGGAACATCCTTTGCCTTGATGATTGGCTTAGGAGGTGGAATATAGTTCAAAAACGCATCACCGGCGTTCTCCAGCTCTCGCCGTTTCTGCTCGTCGCGAGCAGATTTGCGGGTGGTAACCCGTTTCCGTTTTTGTCCAATATTAGCATCCTCATAGTAAACACCATTGCTCGCACCAGAGCTTCCCTGGGAAAGCGAAGTGGGTGCAGTAGTGTGCAGAGACGTCGTACGATCTGTTGAAATCGAACCAGCGGAGGAATTCTCCCCATAATTCTGAGGATTGATCGAGAACGACGGACGATCATAATATGTTACATCATACGCAGACTCGACTCCCGTGCGCCGTTTCTTTCCCGCGGGCTGAGGCAGGTTTCCGTTAGAGGCTGCCGTCACGGTGGACGTCGTCGCAAAGCTGCGAGCGGAGCCCTTGGACTGCTCCGGCGGTGGAGTATCGTCGATGACAATAACTTCCTTCGGAATACCGTTCTTGTAGAATTCGCCCCAGTCTGGCTTTTTCCTCCTTCCGGCCTGGGTTGGGGCCGCGCTAGCGCTGACCCCATTGTGGGTTGGGGGCATGGTTGCCGTCGTCGTTGTCGGCGTGGGAGCCGCGGAGACGATCTTGGGAGATTGTGTGAAAGGTAGGGTGGCGGTTGCGGGTTGACGGCGTAGGGATAGGTGGTGGCCAGGCGAGAGGTGGCCGCGGCGGACGTGGTCGGATAGGGAGGGTTCGGTTGGTAGGGCGGGTGGTGAGGATATCCGTAGTGCTGCTGATGATGCGTAGGGTGTGTCGCCGTGGCGGTGGAGGGAGTAGACATGATGAGAGAAATCCAGCCGGTCGTCGGAGCGGCGGATCCTGGCGAAACACAAGGGAAGAATTCTGAAGGGGGAGGAGTGGTTTAACACCGTCGGATCGCAGTAGACCGTCGTAATCTACTTTTGGAGGGTGGTGGAAAGACAGGGGACTCGAAACACCAGGTCGGAAACCCGGAGTTTCTCGTAATGCTCCCAGTCGATTGATAGACGGCGAATCCGATTGAGACAGCGCAAAGAAAAGAGAAAGAAAGGAAGCAAGAAAAAAGGAATGAAGCAAAGTTGTCCCACGGAATATAGACAGAGAGGCGATGAAGATGAGAGAGGAGACAGGAGATGGGAGAGGGAGAGAGCGAGAGATCGTAGGAAGGAAAGCGGTTGAGAGGCGTGGGGGATGATGACTGAGAGGCGGTCGGAGCAACGACGCCTTCAGAGGTCAATACTAGGAGGAAATGGGAAAAATATGGGAATAAATTGGATGGAGGGAACGGTAGGATTCACGTTTGTCTGATTTGCTTTGCTTGGACAATGGGCTGTACCATTGGCATCGGTTTCGGTCCGTAAAACCAAGCAGGGGAGCAGTGAACAGGTGATATCCGTTAGTATGATTTGATACCTGGACGGAGTGGAAGGGTAATAGAGAGAGAGAGAGAATGTGAGGCTGCTGCGCTGAGGCGAAACGGATCAATAGGATAGAAACAATTATGTATTTTATCTTTGACAAAAGAAATCATTCAGGGAAGAATAAAACAATAC